GTTTACATTTGCCGATGCTGTTTTTTTTCTCTTCACCCTTGTTATTGTACGAAATTCAAATTTAAGCCTCTACTGGTAAGCAACATAAATATAATATTTGTCTTTATAGTTTTTTCCTTATTAACTCCATTGAAAGCTTCAAATTTCATCGAATCTCTAATACTAAAATAAAAAAATTAAAAAAAAGAAATTACCGGAGTAAAAATTCGTTGTTTTTTTATCCACACAATTGCAAATTTTAATATTTATTAAGTTATTTAATATTTGCTTGTCTCACATATTCTCATTGCAAATGAATAAGTATTATAATTAATACATTGCTGAATGAAATTAAGAATCAAGATCAAATGCAGATGAAATATTGAGATAATTAAATGTTAAATAATTTTGAAATTAAATTACAGAACGCAACAACATGCTACAGCATGTAGAAAGGATAACGTACTAAACTAGCAAACTAGATCCGGAAAGAGTTCAGAAGTTAGCGTTTTTAAAGAAAATCTTTGACTAAATTTTTTAAGTAGTTCAGTGGTGATAATAGGTAAAAGCTCTAAAGAATTCAAAATTTTATGTAGTTTTAGTTTTTTTCATATCCAACAATAATTATTTTCACCTATTTTCCATATAATTATGTTTAATATTCTATCTAATTAAGTTTAATAAATATTCTAATTATCCCTAATCTAATAAAAATATTTCAAACTTGATTTTCTAAAAAATTTTATTGAATTTCTAGTTCCTGTATTAAAGATTTAAAACTTCTCTATTAACTTCTGTATTAAAGATTTAAATCTTTTGAAAAAAATTTTGTGGAGTTTTTAGTTTGGGACTAAGAATATTCCTTTTGATAATTGTGCATTAAAATGTTGATAAAATTATTTTCTACCAATAAAAATAATCATATTTGCCTGTTTTAAGTGTTGAAAGATTGATTTTTTCAGTGTGAAAAATGTAATTATACAGAGTGTTCCGCGTAAGATGTGCCAAAAGAAAAATATAAGTAGAACAGATAAAAGTAAACAAAAATTGTAAAGGTCATATTTCAAACAACCACATAAAATTTCAAGATATTAATTAAAATAGTTGGGCATATCAGAGCGCGGCGACGCGGCAGGCGGGACATATGGCTCGCCGCGGCTGGCGAAGAAAATAGACGATTGCTCGCGGGCTTATCTTAAGGCGTTTTTTCGTTTCGTGATCACGTTTGGTTGGTTGGTTTAGTGCACTTAATGGTCGCAACGCCTTGAGCAAGAAAGATAGAATGACGCTCGTGGCGTTGCGAGCGTTAAGTGGACCAAACTAACCAACCAAACGCTACCGTGGTTACGAAGCGAAAAAACGTCTTTATAGGCCAGAGAGGTGGGCCATTTGGAATACGGAAATAGGTAGCTTCGTGTGTGCGTTCGTGTACGTGTGCGCTCGTCCATTTTCTTGGTTATTTGAAAAATTACCTCTACAATTTTTGTTCACTTTTATCTGTTCTACTTATATTTTTCTTTTGGCACGTCTAATGCGGGACACCCTGTATACAGGGTGAATAATTATAAACTTACAAATTTTATAGAAAACATAAGAAACATCGAGATAAATATAATGGACGGGATAATATTGCAATCGACTACGTAAAGTTTCGAGAAAAATTGCTAAATATGTGAGAGAATAAACGCGCGGTGAGCGGGCGTCGTGAGTCTGATACTCCGCGCGGTTGGAGCGGCAGGCGACAAAGGCGGATCGGCGTGCGGTCGCTTCTAAGGATACGGTCCAGTAAGCGCTACAAATGCTTTGTAATGTTTTTACTTCTTTCTCTTTTTTCATTCGAATTCGAGAAATAGAATAAGAGAAACGCTGCGCAGCATTTGTAACGGTTACTGGACCGCGTCCTAAGCCTGTCATCTGCCGCTCCAGCCCGGCCGCGCGGAGTAGCAGGTCCACGACGCCCGTTCACTGCGCGTTTATTCGCTCACATATTTAGCCATTTTTCTCGAAACTTTACGTACTAGATTGCAATATTAACCCGGCCATTGTATTTATTTCGATGTTTTTTATCTTTTTTATAAGTTGTGCAAGTTTATAATTACCCACTCTATATACAGAGTGTCTCAGAACAATCTACGAAGCTGTCGTAAGAACGTAGAGCGGATTAAAATAAACATAAAAGTCCTCTACCATTCAGCACACGCTTTTCCTTAATCTTTCGTAATTAATTTCTCGGTTATTATTACGAATATCGTAAAACGGTATAGGACTTTTATGTTTATTTTAACCCGGTTTACATTCCCACGAGAGCTTCGTAGATTGTTCCGAGACACCCTATATATGATTAGATTTTATACACAATTATTCTCTCTTTTTTAACTTAGCATTTCAGGTTTGAATAATTTCAAGTTCACTTTCAACAGTTTCGAGACTTCACAAAGTTTCGGACTCGAATTACGAAGATTTAAAAATCCGATTTCGATCCATCTCTACCTTTTATCTTCCGAGTGGAACTTCACTCGAAAATATAAAAAGTGGAGATCAAAGTCGATTATTGCGATCGACCTCAGATCGAGATGAAAAAATCGGTCAAGGGAGCAGATAAAGAGAGCTGCCGGGCGTTTCGTATAACACGAGCACGACCGGGTATTCGGTGAGCTCAGGGGAAAATTAGCCGCCGTACCGATTAATTTCGATACGTCGATGCCGTAGGCTCTCGGGATGGATACCCTTCGACGCTTAATTGGCTCGGCTACTCGCTTGCTTCTCGCTCCTGTCGTACGTGATCGAGGCGCCTCGTCAATGTAACAAACGTCTTACGAGAGCCAGCGCAGTTAAAGCGGAAGCGTTGGAAGCGTTGTAAGCGGAAGCGTTGCGGAAAATTACGCGCGCAAATTGCAAGTGCGATAAGGGTGGCGATTGATCGTGAGATTGTAGGACCGACAATGTCGAGTTTCACACCGACAATTTGTGATTCACCGACAGGGACACGATCAACGATCTGTTAACACGTTGAATGCCGTAATGATCATCGACGACTGATACTGTGATATCCCCGCGTCTCATTAAGTCTCACATAAGATAATTAATACATGAAATAACTAATTATATCTAAAAAGAATTTGGCTGTACAACAAAGAGCCGATAAAACAAGATAAAAGATATATATCTCGAATTACATTCATTAGATTGACTCAAAAGCTTTTCTTACACAGAAAGTGAATATTATAATTCCCTTTTTCTTTTATATAAATTCTTTTCGATTTTATTATATTTGTCCAGTAAAAATAGATTATCGGTAAAAAGTCTATTTTGTTAAGAAACATATTAGATTTCACTGGAAAACAGCGAAATTTTTTAACATGTCACAGTTCCTAAAAATAGCATGTATGAAAGGTTAACAAATTATTGCGGAAAGAAAAAATTCCCTCTATATAAAATGCAACAAAAATATTTCTATAAAACACACTGAGAAGAAGATACTTGAAAATTCATTGGTGAAATATGAAATTTGTTCGCAAAAATAAGCTTTATTTCATAGAAATCAATTTTACATATCTTACAAATAAATTTTTAAGTATTTTTACTCAATGTATTTGAAAAGAAAGACTCCACATAAAAAAGACTTCTGAATCTAAGATGTCTGAAATAATATCTTTAATAATATGATCATCAAGATAAGAGTGTTGGTTAAATTCAGATGTGGAAATTTGGAAAAGTCGAGTAAGTACTAGATAGAAGAGGAAGAAAAGAATTGTGTATTCTGTATAGGATAGGATAATATAAGACACTTTGTAGAAGGATGTATGAAAGTGAAAGGTTGGTTTGTAGAATTAAGGAGAGATATAGAGGAGATATAGGATAAAATGTAGGATAATCAGTTAGATGAGGTAAAAGGAAAAATTTTGAGAAAATTATGGAAAAAAAGGAAATGATGAAGATTAAGATTGTATAAAACTGAAGAAACAAGGCTATATAATGTTTGTGTATAATAGTTTAGAAAGGTGCAACAGATATATATTACAGATAATAGTTTAGTGAGATGATATAAATGGATAATATATAAAGTTAAGATAAATATTAGGACCTTAACTTAGTTTCCGCCCGCAAATGTTAGATGGCAATGCAAACAGTTCTAGTAGTCATTACTAACGAAACAGGTAGTTTGTGATTAATTTCGACATTTCTCGATAACATTCAGTCAGCATACACAATTATTTTCCTAAACAACAATTTCTTTTGCTTTGTGAAAAATGGAACGCGATAAAGTGTTTTTTCGACATGTGCTTTTGCACTATTTTGATTTGAAAAAA